ACGAGATTTAACAGATCTTGAATTTTCCTCTGTAGGCACCACTTCTTCCTTCGTCTCATTTCGAGATTGAACCGTCAAGGATTCAATACGAAATTCTTCCAGAGATGGATTGATGTTGATCCGTTCACAATGTTGGCATCTAAAACCTTTAATTATTTCATGTGCCATTCCCTTACCTTTCCCCTGTCCCGACGAACTTCTTTTGGTATAGTCGGAAGCTCCTAATCCGTCCTTCGGTTGCTTTCCTGACCAGACCCGACTGGACCGACTTATTGGAGACTGAATGGCCGCTCCCTGCTCGTCGGTCGTTTGTTCTGTAAAGACTCTAATGGACTGATCTCCTGTCAAGTGGTCGGCCGCAGTTTGTTCGTCGGTTCTTTGTTGCACTGCAGGAACTCGTTTCCCATACTTTGCAGCATACCTGCGTTTGGCATTGCGAATCTGTGTACGATTCATACCTGGGAAACGAGGATCTATATCAACGGGTAAAGGCTTTTTATTTCGAGCCCACTCGTTCCCGACTGAACCCGTTTTTCTGGTCGGGTGGTCTTTCACTAAAACCTTTTCCTTCACTTCCACGTTAAAAGAACCGTCTGGACGGTCCCATTTTTCAGCGACTGGCCTTTCAACAACCTTGAGTCGTTCTTCCGGTCGGCTGCTGTTTGGCTGATTCCCTTTCTTTTTTCCGGGACTAGTTTGCTCCCCTGTTTGTCCACTATTGACCGAACTTTTCCTTGTTTCCGAACTTGGTTGGATGTCAACCATTGCAGTTGTTAGTTTCGGAAATGGTTGCTGGTCTACACCTAAAGTGATGTATTTGAGCCGACCTGTCTTGATGGCTTTTTGAATTTCCTTCCTAAAATGAGTACACTGACTTGTAGTGTGTGTGAAAGAATTATGCCACTTACAATATGGTCTCCCTTTGATTTCTTCTTTAGTGGCAAGTCTTTGGCCCTTTGGAATACGAATCTGCCCATCAGTCAGTAGGATATCAAAGATTTCATCAGCTTTCGAACTATCAAAGGTCGGTTGCTCCTTTCCTTCAGATCCTGGTACTGGCTTCAATTTAGGACATACATACGGTTTTCCAGAAAGGATTTCGGCTGCCATCTCTTCTGACTGATTAAAATCAAAGTCGCATGTTTCTGTTCCCATACTCGCCATATGTTGGCCTCTATTACGCCTGTTATGCTGCTCTTCCTCTCTGAACAAAGACTCTAGACGTCCTGCCTTGGATGCAAGATTTGCCAAATCCTCAACATCCAGGGCAGTGAGTGCCTTTCTTAAGCGATTATGCATATTCCGGACCACTAAATTGGTCATCTCTTTCTCACTGATTACCGTAGGACATCGTCCCTTCATCAATCGTACCCTTTCTATAAACTGTGAAGCAGTTTCTTCTGGATACTGTCTCAATTCAAGTAAATCAGTTAAAGAAACAACTGGTAAAGGATTAAAGAATCTAGCGTGAAATGCCATTTCCAATCCTTCCCATGTCTGAATTTGTCCAGGAGGTAGACTTACAAACCATGAAAACGCCGTTCTGGTAAGAGACAAACCAAACAGCTGTAACTTATAAAAAGGGTTATTGCCAACCTCTCCTAATTGTGCTGTGAACCGACCAACATGTTCTATGGTGGAAGATCCGTCCTCCCCTGAGAATGCATGAAAGTCGGGTGGTCGAAAATTCCTTGGGAGAGGGTGTTCATGAATGATCCTTTCTGGGAAAGGTCTTTGATATGCAGGGCGGTTAGCCATCTGAGGAGTTAATCCATACTGATCCCTTAATATATGTGCAATCTCATCAGGATCTACATGAAAGCGTTGATGATCAGGAACCTGGAACGGATCCTGCACAGGAATATGAATCGGATCATGTATATATCCTTCAGGCCTGTCCTCCCTTGTATTGTTCGGCTGCGAATTGGTAACCCTTGGTCCCAGTGGAACATTGTTGGGAAAAGTCAAAGGAGTTTTTCCCCGATCCATTCGGTTGGGATTTGTGGCACTTGGGAATGTACTATCCACGAATGATGGCCCTGCGAAATTTGCCTGTGGTCTGGACGGTGACACTCCTGGTGGCGTTTGAGTGGGTTGAAGACTAACCCTTGACAATGCTTGATCTATCATGTTCTGCAACTGACTCTGTTGCTCACGCAACATGTTCGTTTGTTGCTCACGCAACATATTCTGCATAACCAAGGTATGCTGGTTGTTCATTTGTTGAACATAAGACCACCAATCAGTTGGTGGTTGTGGGATGTCCCCGGCATTTGGCACAATGGGTGGTGGAACGGATTCTCCCACCGGTGTCGAAGATGCTTGCGGTTGTGACCCTGCCATATGGACCCTTCCGATGATTCGGCCGGATCTAAGACGTATGAAATTATCGCCGGAATTGGAATGAGCAATTTTGTCTTGCTCCCACTGTGGTCGCCAATTTGTTGATGTAATTTTTCAACAAAAATAAAGTAAAATTCAAAGATATAGAAAATATCCTTAAACTTGATTAATTAGTGCCTGAGATTAGGAATCTCTAAACACTGTATGGTACAGAAAATAAACTGGAAAATAAAAGACTGAAATTTAAAGTGGTGATCCCCAAATCTGACTTTGCTTTGTTGAAGTTGATTGAAGATCCCTTGCCAAATGATGATCCAAATCCTTAAATATTCCCTGGGAAACCGTACTGAAAACCGTCACCCGAACGGTTACAACGTCTCCTTCTCAACCGTCTTCCAACCTTTCTTATGCTGACACGTGTCCCCAGCAGACCAAAAATTCCCTATATTTCACTCCTTGAGCCGACCACAGACCTTCCGCTCTTTTGGCCCGACTGCCAATCTACAATAGTATGGGTCCGACCGCCAATCCTCCCGACTTGCGAACCATCTGGCTTGAGGTCTTTCCGCCTTGAGGACTTCCCGACCTGAAAACCTTCCGACTTGAGGTCTTTCCGCCTTGAGGACTTCCCGACCTGAAAACCTTCCGACTTGAGGTCTTTCCGTCTTGAGGACCTCCCGACCTGAAAACCTTCCGACTTGAGGTCTTTCCGTCTTGAGGACTTCCCGACCTGAAAACCTTCCGACTTGAGGTCCTTCCGTCTTGAGGACCTACCGACCTGAGGTCCGTCCGTCCTAATGACTTTCCGTCTTGAAGACCTACCGACCTGAAGACCTTCCGACCTGAGGTCCTTCCGTCTTGAGGACCTACCGACCTGAGGTCCTTCCGTCCTAATGACTTTCCGTCTTAAGGACCTACTGACCTGAAGACCTTCCGACCTGAGGTCTTTCCGTCCTGAGGACCTACCGACCTGAAGTCCTTCCGTCCTGAGGACCTACCGACCTGAGAACCTTCCGTCCTGTATTTTCCTTAGAAATAAATAAATAAATTTATTTTCCTTGATTTCCTCACGGTGTCCTTCAGCCAGTTCAATCAACCCTATTGCCAGGCCCATTCTTCTTTTTTACCTTGGGCTTTTAACCTAATTCTAAATTTCGTACGTAACAATAATATATTTTATGGTAATTTGCCTCATTTGATTTTTTATTTTATAATGTAAAAAATTATAAAAATTTTGTTGATTTATAATTTTAATCTTTAAATTTTATTTATTATAGTAAAAAGAAATATTAAATTTTATGTAATTTTGTTAAAAAAAATTAGAACATTTAAAATTTTCATTTTTTTTTTCAGGGTGTACTATGAATAACCAAAAATAATACTGAATCGATATTTTGGCCCCCCCGCCCTTCCGGACTTTTATTGCTGATTCCGTCACTACATATATATATATATGCATTAGATAATGTTAAATGATACCATATTAGATGATGTTAAATAATCATTTCATTTAAAATTTTAAATTTACAGAAATATGCAAAATTTATTCATTTATATTTTACGGGAGTCAACCAATCATAGAAGTCAAAGCTTGTTTGAACCTTATTAGAAGTCAAAGCTTGAACTTGAAATTCGAAAGATATCTAGTTTGTTAACATTAATCTATTGTATATTTTGTTTTTGGTACCAATATATATATATATGCTATACATTATTACATAATTAGGGTAGCGAGTCCTTCCAGCGCATTTTTGTCCTCACTCATGCGCACTCGGAGCGCACCCTGAGAGACGCTTAACTCTAGAATTCTTTCAGTAGGGCTCCTGAAAAAAATGTATACAATGTTAACATGAGTAGTATATTCAATTTATTTAACCTATATTCAACCTTGCATGGCCTGACACCGGCTCATTCACGAGAGTTGGCCTAACATTGGTCCAACTCCGGGGATATTACAATATCTCACTAGATATGATCTCAAGTTTTAGATATAGAAATCAATTCTAAGATATGACTTATCAATTAAGTATGGAAAGGGTTTTTTTTGAACTTCTCTATCCAACTCATGAGCTCACCGACTCGGTTTGACACTCGATTTGAGTTCAGAATTTGGTTCATGACAAAGTTATGTGATGTGGATAATCATATCATTTCATCTATTTCTCACTTATCAGAATTCAATTTTAAGAATAGACTAAACATTTAATCATTATTTGATTTTCTGAATTCTTAAAATAGAATTCCTACACGTCTCACTTGAAAGCTTAAACTTGCAGTGATACATATAGTTTATGTATTTATATTTTACGTGATTCAACCAATAATGTATATAGATGTTATATATTATTATATAATTAGAGTTACAAGTAATATCTTGTTTGCAACTTATTGGAGGTCAAAGCTTGAACTTGAACTTCGAAAGATATCTAGCGTGTTAACATTAATCTATTGTATATTTTGTTTTTTGTATTAGTATTCTTGAATTACGTAGTTAAATAGATATTAATTTAAGTTAATCTCAAGTTTGATAAGATTTTGAGTCAGATTTTACTCCTTCAAAGTAAATCTGCACCCATGTACTTCATGATCGAATAATACATCGTGCTTCAAGATTTTAATTATACATATATAAATTTCATACACGTAATATTGTGTAGCGCTATGGAGTTTCGATAAGCTTCTTTAGCTCTCATTATTTGGTCGACATAAAAAGAGAGAGCGTTGGTCGAGTTTTGAAGCTCGATTCAATTAAAGATGGAGAGACTTGGAGGCATTATGATGTCTTAATATTCAACACATGGCTTTGGTGGTACCGTAGAGGACCAAAACAACCGTAAGAATTTAACTAAAATATTCAATTAAGATAGGAGTTCGATTGATATCATGTTTAATGTTGATCTATTTATTTTGATACAATATAGGTGGGATTATGTCGAAGTGAATGGTAAGATATCGAAGGATATGGACCGTATGGATGCATTTCGAAAAGGTCTTACAACGTGGGCAAAATGGGTTAACTCATATGTTAAACCTTCGACTAAAGTTTTCTTACAAGGAGTAAACCCATCTCATTACAGGTACACAACAATAGTTCATTTGATCGCGTTGCATTGAACATTAACATTTTACAATATACAATATTTAAAAAATATACTCCATTCGTCCGCCTCTAAGGATCATATTTAACTTTTACATCATTGCACTTAACATTAAAAATATAATAATATTTGTATTTTTTTTGTACAAATTTTATTCTATTAGTATTATAAGACACTGGTGAAAGTATTTTTGCAATTTTTTCTTAATTTGCACTACGTTTTGATATAATAATTAATATTCAAATATTAACACGCAAAAAGTAAATGAGACCCTTAGAGCCGAACGGAGGTAGTATTTAATTATAACTCGAGACTTTAATTCTACAGTAAATTATTACATCGCATATTTTTAATAAATTGTGTAAATAATCAACTTTTTAGAGGGATACAATGGAATAATCCGAGAGCGACCAATTGTTTAAACGAGACCACACCTATGAGAGGTTCGACATATCCGGATGGCGAACCATTGGCATCAAAAGTCATGAAAGAAGTGTTAAAAACCCGAGTCTCGTCATCAAAATTGGTGCATTTCCTTGACATCTCAAAACTCTCACAATTGAGGAAAGACGGGCATCCGAGTAAGTACAATGGCTTCCATGGCATGGACTGCACCCATTGGTGCATTGCCGGTGTCCTCGAAACGTGGAATCAAATTCTCTATGCATACCTTATTTGAGGAAGTCATCCCCGAGGATCCATTGAAAAATATCAACAACTCATAATCTATTTGTAAAAACGCTATAAAAAAAAAATCATTTTTATACAAAGGTTTTTTCGTCCATAAATCTACTTTTTCCGTTACTAATGACATTAAAGACGGAATTAGGGATGAAATTACGTTAGCTACGTGAACTTTGGGGACGAAATTCCGTTACTAATATACTATTTTTTTTTTTTTTTTTTATTTTTTGTAGTAAAAAAAAAAGGGTAAATGAAAAAAATTAATTAATGAGTTGAATATTACAAAGAGAAAATTAGTTTAGAGTGTGATGAACCTTTAATAATTTTTGCCACTCTATCTTTGTTTATGTGTTCTTGTTAGCTTTGAAGGAATAAATTTGAAGAAAAAAAAAATGTTATAGAAGAACATATGAAAAAAAAAAAAATGTTATTTTTAGAAAATAAAAAAAATAAAGCAATATTAATCTAAGTGCAATTTTTTTTTTTTTTTTAAATAAAAATTTCTCAATCTTATTTGATGGTGTAATTATGAGAAAAGTATTGCAATTCGTTTCTTCGTTTTTTTTTTAACAAAAGGTTATTGCATTTGAAGAGGTTAAAATTTTAGATATTTTAAAATTGGATGAAATGATAATAACAATGTGGGTGTCTATGATTAATGAAATGGTTATCGTGTTGATTTATCATAGTCTAGCACACAGAGGCGGATTTAGAAAAAAATTTTAGTGATAACATAATAGATATATCAAAAAATATATATTAATATTTATAAAAATAAATTATTATTAATGATATAGAAAATAATATTATAATACTATTATATATATATATATTTAAAATAAAATAGATTATTTTCATTGGATTGAATTTTAATTATTTAGATACTCACGGACAGTTTAAATTTTAAATAATCCACTAAAATAGTTTTGGATAACAATGACATTCAAATTTTAAGTGGGGCACTCAAACTTTTTAATGGTGACACAATTATTTAATTATAAAAAATTTCTTTTGGTGTGATAAAATTGGTGGCACGTACTACCACTGTCTTCGACTTGAATCCGCCCCTGCTGGCACATGTAAAATCGATAAACATCACTTGTTTTTATTTAACACACTATATATTTATATATTTGTAGGTGCGGTGTATAATATTATATTATGTGTTGAAATTAATTATAACATGTGTTTATATTAAATTATATGATATGTTACATTTGCATTATATTAAAATAAATAATATATTATCTTTAGTTATATTATATGTTGTGTTACTCCATAATATTCAATTCTATGAGATTTGTGCCATTTCTTTTTATTTTCAATTCTAGAAAAATTTTGGTTGTTTAGTATTACATTTTGATGTGTTTCTAAGTGAGATATGTAGAGTTATGCTGATAAATCGTAAAATTTTTAGAATTTTAAAGTAAGAAATTTTAAATTGTATTTGTTTAGAAGTTTAATTTTTATAACAATTATGATGTGTAGCAATATCTTTTATATAAAAAAAATTATTAACATGTTAAATATCATCATGTTAAATACAGTTAATAATAAAAAAATACTAGTATCATTTAAAATGAAACAAATAAAATATTTATTTTATGCAATTTTTTTTTTTTTTTGAAAAAATTATCATTAACTTCCTATATGTTCAAATCAACATTTAATATATAATAAGTAATTTTTATCAAATAATTTTTACTCTTTTCTAACATACACTATCAAATCAAATCAATATATTATCAAATAATATTAATATATAATATATTTAATAAAAATTAATTTTTTTTACAAATTTAATAATTATCATTCCAAACCTACTTTTATCAAATCACTTAAATTCCTACATACCCAAACGTTCTCTCATCTGCCTAATTGGCCGACTGATCTCCTTGCGTTTTACCGCCGCCCCTCTCCGACCGGTGCCGCCGCTGCTGCGCAGGTATTGCCGTTGTTTCTTTTTCTTTCCTTATTCTTCTTTTTATTTTCCTTATGTTGTGAAAGATTATGATTAATGATCGAATAATAAATAAAAATATAAAGAAGACACAATGGTTCACTGACAAAGTGTTGACTGCTACGTTCACAGATAGAAACGAAGAATATATTTATTATGGACGACTAGGTTACATATTTAATTATAGATTTTGTATCTCCAAGTCTATTCAAAAGTCCAATATTGCATGCATACCGTCCGGTTAGAGGCCACTCCGAGCCCCTAGACCCAAGCAAAGGGGACTTCGCCCCCCTTGACCCCCGACTCGCTGATCGGGAAACGAGATTCCTGTGAAAATTCAGCAGAGTGACAAACTAGATTTAAGGCATATCAACGGTGAGACCCTCATGAAAACTCTAAGTGAAGTGACAAACTAGATTCAAAGCATATCAGCAACGAGACCCCGAAACATCTGAACTAGTACTTTCGAATGTAGTATTTTCAGCCGTAGTAGCATCTGGAACATCTGAACTAGTGCTTTAAAATGTAGTATTTTCAGAAATAAGATGTTGATCTTCTCCACTTTTGCAGTTGTGATGCTCTTCTCGAAAGTGACTTGCAACTCCATCTCTTTATCTATGAACTTTACAATGGGGTTAAGCATAGAATTTTCATCAAATATTACATTCTTACTATCTATTCTCAGAAGGTGACTAAATTTTATATCTCTTAACTCTATCCCCGAAATCAACAAATATGTTATTCTTAGCTTTTAATTTTAATTTACTTTCACTCACATGATAGTAAACAATACGACAAAAAATTCTCAATAATAAATAATCTACAGGTTTATTAGATCATACTTCGTAAGGTGTCTTGCAATCAATGCCAAGGTGAAGTCTACGGTTGATCGAATAGCACGCCATGTTTACATTTTTTTTTTTAATTTATATGATATTTTGATATAATAATTAATATTTAAAATAAAATTCTGGGGACAAAAATCTTGCATCCAAAATCTATCTTTTAAGCCAATTAAAAACATTTATAAAAGACTCCGCTGAAAAAAAAGACAAAAGGCGAAAAAGAAGCACAATTTTTTAGAGAGAGGAGTATAAACCCTATCGCTCAACCAACCGATCGACCGCCGTCTTCATCTTTCTTCGTCTTTCCACTCTGCGCAACAGCCTTCATCGTCTTCGCCAACAACTTCACCCTCCTCCTCATAGACGTCGGATTTGCTGCTTTTGCAACCACCACAGTGGCCGCCGACGGCCTTTTGCACGAGTGGCAGCAACGCGGATCGGCTCTCGGACTGTAAGTGCTGTTCGTCTCTGATCTATCACAGTATCGTCAAACTCGTGGCCTAGGTGATAATGGTGAGGCAGGAATTTTGGTAGAAGTAGCCTGCAATTTTATCGGCGTAGGATCGGGCTCGTGTGCAAATCCGACCGCACTCAGAATTACTCCAAAACAGAGTCTCGATAATGGCGGCTTCAGTTTCCTTCACCAGCGTTAAACCCTCCGCCGCCGTCTCAGGTCTCCGCCGCCGTCCCCTTTCCGCCGCTTTCGGCGTCACCACCATCTCTGTTCGCCACAACCCCGACCAAAACCGCCGTTTCGTTGTCTATTCATTAGACGCGAAGCCTACCATTTTGGTAGCCGAAAAGCTGGGCGATGCAGGGGTGAATCTCTTGAAGGAATTCGCGAATGTGGACTGCTCGTATAACCTCAGTCCGGAGGAGCTCTGCACCAAAATCTCGCTGTGCGACGCGCTGATTGTGAGAAGCGGGACTAAAGTCGGCCGCGAGGTGTTCGAATCATCAGGTGGACGGCTTAAAGTGGTTGGAAGAGCTGGAGTAGGAATCGATAATGTAGATCTGGCAGCAGCCACGGAGCACGGGTGTTTGGTGGTGAACGCCCCCACTGCGAATACTGTTGCTGCTGCTGAGCACGGAATCGCACTGTTAACCGCCATGGCTAGAAATGTTGCTCAAGCCGATGCATCGGTTAAAGCTGGTTAGTAAATTCATACATAGACATAGTTTCTTCTGCATTTCAAATTTATATTTATGGCTTCTGCTTTCAATATGCATATGTATATTATGGTTTCTTCTGCATTTCAATATGTATATGCATCGACTCAAAAGTATATCTGAAAGGTTATCTGCTTGATCTATATGATTGATGCTTCGTAAGTTTGAGTTACAATGTGCATTAGAATCTGTAGTCAGATCTAAATTTTGTTATCTTTGGAATGCATTTCTTGTTTAATAATTCTACAAGTATTTGATTGTTTTGAGATAAAGATGTCGTAAGATGGTGGAAATTTTTTTATATTTCAATAGTAGATACTCTGAGAAATGTAATCGATTCAACGTTGGTAATTCTTTGGCCTGTTTTGCTAGATTGTTAGGAGTGATTAATTGTTTTTATCGTAAGAATTATGAAATGTTACGACTTTAGATTCATTCTATCGTCACTGTCCTAACTTACAATATTCTTAAAGTAAAGAATCACTTGTAAATTCAGGTAAATGGGAGAGGAACAAATACGTGGGCGTTTCCCTCGTCGGCAAGACACTTGCTGTGCTCGGTTTTGGGAAGGTTGGCTCGGAAGTTGCGAGACGAGCAAAGGGCCTCGGTATGCACGTAATTGCACATGATCCGTATGCTGCTGCTGACAGAGCCCGAGCAATCGGTGTAGATCTTGTAAGCTTCGATGAAGCAATGGCAACTGCTGACTTCATCTCACTGCACATGCCGCTGACTGCGTCGACGTCAAAAATGTTGAACGATGAAACTTTTGCAAAGATGAAAAAGGGTGTCAGGATCGTCAATGTTGCGCGCGGAGGAGTGATCGATGAAGATGCACTGGTGAAGGCGCTCGACTCTGGCATTGTGGCACAGGTACGAGTTTCTCCTTCTCCTTCGTAAACCAAAATCTACCATAGATTTGAATATTTGATAAGTCAAGCTACATATGTACTTATTGAGTATAATTTCGATTTCAGGCTGCGCTCGATGTTTTCACGGTAGAGCCGCCGGGAAAGGACAGTAAATTGGTGCTACACGCGAATGTAACTGCGACTCCACATCTTGGAGCCAGTACAATGGAAGCTCAGGTCATCGAAACGTTGTTATCACACTTTCTGTCACTTTTTTTTTTTCGTTTGCTTCTAGTACTTTTGCGCTAAGCTGTTCGATTTTGTTTCCAGGAAGGAGTAGCCATTGAAGTAGCCGAAGCTGTCGTTGGAGCCTTGAAGGGAGAGCTGGCTGCCACTGCAGTCAATGCACCAATGGTTCCTGCTCAGGTAACAGTTTGTTTCTTTAAAGTTTAGATTTCTATTTGCGGTTTCAAAATAGTAAAAATTTGAATTAACATAGTGTTTGACGTAGGGGTAACAAAATTGAACCCGACCTGAAAATTTTTAGGTTTGGGTTTGATTGTCTGAAGTTTTTTAAAAAATCAGATTGACTCAAACCTGAAATAAAAAAAAAAATTGGGTTGGATCATGTCGTGCTTAGATTGACCTGATAACTCGAAATATAGAAATGAAGTCGGTGAATAACCTGAAATCCAAACCCGATCTGATTTTACGGTTAAAATTATTCTTTATTTATTTCAAATCGTAATATATTACAAAATAAAATAATATAAACAAATAAAATTATTAAAAATTAATATTATACTAAGCATAAAAATAAAATAAGATTTTCGGCTGTTTTGTATTAGGCTTTTTTTTTTTTTGATAAGTTTAAAATTTTTAAGTTTTCGGGTCTATTTTGTGTCAAAATCTTCAAGTTCATTTGGATTATCGGATGATCTGAACCTGACTAAAATAAATCCATGTCGCTTTCGGGTTTAGGAGTTCAGGTTGAAAATCGGGTTCAGGTTGCATCCGGGTTGGTAGGATTTTTGTTATACCTATAGTTCAACCCAATAAGAATACAATTCGAAAATAAGAAATTGATGGTTTGAATGAAAAATAATAATTTTATTGCAATACTACCTTCATCCTAAATCAATTGGTATAAATTTTTTTTTTGCCACAATATTTTAAATAAATATTGATATTTTATTGATAGTGAATACAAAATAATGGTTAAATGACCTTTTTGTCTTTGCAAATGTGTGCTTTAATTTATTTGAAAAACCCAGTGATATTTATATAATAATAATAAAAAAGTAAAATCGTTTTATAGTCATATAACTATTTATGGTAATAGAACAATTGATTCGGAACAGTTTTAAATGATACTCCCTCCATCCACATAGAAAGTAAATGTTTATCCTTAGGGTGGGTTTGTTTGGGGGTTTCGATTTTTGATTTTGAGTTGGGATTTTAAATGTAAAATTAATTTTTAGTATAATATAAAAAATGAAAAATAGTTGTTTGATTTGATGTATTTGGGAGAAAAAATAGGATGAATAGTGTATTGAAAATCCAATCATAGTATTTTAATTATAATGGGCAGTTAAAAGTAGTGTAATGACATTTTTGCGTTTGCTTTTTGGTGTAAAAATAATGACCTGATGTAAAGTAAGTGTATTTGTGAAGAAAGTGAAATATTTAATGAAATGTTTGTTTTGTAATTGAATGTTCCAGAATAAAAATATGTATATTTTCTAGCTTGAAGGATAGAGTAAAATAGGACAATAGATTTGGTATAGAAGTAATATATTAAATGAATTATAGCTCTATCAAAATCGGATCTTTTTATGTTTATCATATTGACTATCCAAACTATCGATTGTTTCATTACCCACGTAGGTTCTCACAGAGCTGAAGCCTTACGTCGTTCTTGGTGAAAAACTCGGCCGACTCGCAGTCCAACTAGTAGCTGGTGGGGAGGGAGTAAAATATATAAAAATCACATACGCATCTGCCCGAGCTCCCGACGATCTCGACACCCGTCTGCTCCGAGCCATGATAACCAAAGGTCTGATAGAGCCAATATCAAGTGTCTTCGTCAACCTGGTGAACGCCGATTTCACCGCAAAGCAGAGAGGGCTCCGTATAATCGAAGAGCGCGTAATCCTCGACGGGTCTCCCGAGCGCCCCCTGGAGCTAATCCAGGTGCAAATAGCGAACGTCGAGTCGAAATTCCCGAGCTCAATATCCGACAGCGGCGAGATCCGGGTCGAGGGCCGGGTCAAAGATGGGGTCCCTCACTTGACGATGGTTGGGTCGTTCGACGTCGATGTGAGCTTGGAAGGTAGTATCATACTGTGCAGACAAGTCGATCAGCCGGGCATGATAGGAAAAGTCGGTTCAATTCTTGCGGAGGAAAACGTTAATGTGAGCTTTATGAGCGTCGGGAGGAGCGCTCCGAGGAAGCAGGCGGTGATGGCGATCGGAGTTGACGAGGAACCGAGTAAGGTGTCGTTGAAGAAGATTGGGGAGATCCCTGCCATTGAGGAATTTGTTTACCTTAAGTTGTAGTATGTGTGTTGTGACTGTTGTTGTTTGCTGTTTTGTCTTGAATTTTGTTGTCTTGTTGTGTGGCTGTTGTTACTGTGGTTGTTTTTGTCGTTGTCCTCGTCGCTTCCGTCGCAAATTTTATTTCGAGGGATTTTGATTTTAACCGATTTGACATTTTTAGCATGAATTTTTAATTTTCGAAGAAAGTTGCTATCCGAAAGTGCGCACTGGGTAAATCTTCAGTCGAATTTAATACCTTGGAAATCTGGCTCGACGGAAAACTTACACTAGGCTAAGCATGTGTGGCAGATGATTTGAGGCGTCGGGGGTTTGAATTCATTACTTCACGGATATAAATTCAATTCCTGCGTCACCACGCCATTTCTCAGGGGACTGTTAGATTTTGATTTTGATTTTAAAGTTTGAAGACACAACAAACAAACAGTCCTAGAAATAAATATAGAGAGAATCCTCTAAATTTTGGAAAGTGGGTGAGTATTATAGAAATTAATTTTATTAGATATAGTCAACTATTTATTAATATTAATATTATTATATACAATTAATGACAATAAATTAATTACGATATTCATCCATAACTGCTGTCCCAATCGTATCACATGCACATTACATTACTACATTATTATACTTCCAATTTCTAATCACTTCATACCAAACATGGATCACCCTCACCGACCCACCCCCCTCATTAAAACGAATTAAAATAAAAATTAATTATAAAAAAATTGCAAAAATATTTCATACTTATACCCTATTATCACGTTTATCCTATATTTATATACCTGTCAAAATATATCTGTTTACAAAATTCAAAGATAAAATAACAATTTTTGCAAATATTTGAAATATATTTTTCCAGCGATATAAATATAAAACACGAAAATGATAATGAGTATACGTGTGAAATATTTTTTTGCAATTTTTCCAATTATAGCATCTCTTGTAGTCACTTTTTTATTACTTTATCTTTTCATTTTTACTATAACAACTAGTTATCTTTCTCATTATATTTAGGAAGAGATATAATTATTCATATTTATTACATTTTTTAAGAACCGATTACCTTCAACAAAAAATATTATTCAAAAAAATTTGAAATTTCAAAATTTTAAATTTTAAACTTAACATAAATTATCTAATATATATTGTGGTTTATTCGAATAATTTCAATTTTTTAAATAGTAAATTATATGTTCCAATATATTAAAATATATATAGATTAATATTTAAAAATTATATTATATAAAAATATTATTAATCAATTTAGCATGTGTCATATAAAAAAATAAAAATAATGTATTGAATGTAATTATTATAACGATCGATAAAGAAAGTAATTTAAATATTGAAATAAATATAGTGTGAGAAATAACGGATGCTCTTAATTAGTCACTTCCCCTTCTACAATACACACATACATACATATACATATATATATATATACCTACGATATCATATGACTTTGTGAACTCCGCCGCCGGTCCAAATAATTAAAAATTAAAATCGAAGTTTGAAGATGAAATTAATTCGCTATGTCGCCGACATTCCTTTCGTCTTCATCTTCGTCTTCCTGTCTGTGTCTGTGTCTGTGTCTGTAATAAGAAACACAGATGCTGCAGTGAAGCAGAAGCAGCCCTGCAATGGCGGAAGTGATGACGTGTACAAAGGAGAGTGGGTTTACGACGAATCTTACCCCATTTTTGACTCCTCCAAATGCAAATCCATTCGCAGAGAATTCTCCTGCTTGAGAAATGGTCGAAGCGATCGGAATTATCTCAACTACAGATGGCAGCCCAGTTCATGCACTTTGCCCAAGTAAATTTTTTTTTTTTTCATTATTAATAACATTAGAGACAAAATTAGAAATAAAATTACATCAGCTACGTGAGTGAATGTGAGATTTCATTATAAATACATTATGTTTTTTTAGTGTCTCTCTTTTGTGTGATTGCAGATTCAAAATTAATTTTTTTATTTTTATTTAATTTTTTGGATGAGACAGATTTGATGGGATCGATTTCTTGAGGAGGCTAAAGGGCAAAAAAGTGCTGTTTGTTGGGGACTCAGTGAGCGATAATCAATGGCAGTCGCTGGTGTGCATGCTGCAGGTCGCCACCGGAGAATATTCCGGCGCTGCCGCCGGAGAATATTTTGGCGCCGCCGCCGTCACCGGTGGTAATTCGACCTCCACCGTCAGATTCCAGGTCAAAAGATTGTAATTTTTAATTAGTTTAATCAATAATTAGTGATGACATACGTCAACAAAATGGTTTCTTTTTTTCTTTTTTTTAATTTAATTTATTGTTTAATAATATATATATATATATATATATTATCAGAAGTATGGAGTATCTATCAGTATGTTGCTGTCACATTATTTGGTGGACATAGAGAACCGGAAAGCGGGTCGGGTTTTGAATCTGGATTCAATCAAAGATGGGGAGATTTGGGAGCAATACGACGTCGTTATATTCAATACCTGGCTCTGGTGGTACCGCTCCGGACCTAAACAGCCGTAAGCAACACTGCATAAAACCCTATCTTTATTTATTTATACTTATAGATATTGTTAAAACTTTTAGTATTATTTATTTACAGTATTCCCACCGTCCCATAACAAAGTATCCATTTTTTTATTTTAGTCTGTTTTATAATAAAATATTTATTTTTTTTTTAATAATTGTACTATTTACCTAACATTACAAATATCTTTACAACTTACTACTAATAAAATTATTTTAGTCATTTCTACTTTATTCCTACTACATCCAAATATAATAGTATTTCTAAAACTACTTATAAAAAGTAAATGAATACCTAGTTATAGGACGGAGGGAGTATTATTTTTAAAGATCATATTAAATATATATTGTTTTAAAATGTCAAGATTATTATTCCCAAAATTTTAGGTAACAATTACTTCATTTAAACAGACCAAAACTAAACATCGAAAGGTCTCTTATTGATGTGTCTATATAAATTGCACTTTCTGTCATCCAAAATATCAAAATTGAGGTTTAGTTTTAACTGTGTTCTAAAATCAAGAATTTTCACATTCAATCTCTCCCATATCTATTAATCTACTTGGTTTTTGCACTGAGATTTAGAAATATTAGTATTATATTAAAATAAATTAGAAATAAATGTAAAAAGATTAAACTAACCTTATTAGTGTTATATAATATAAAATTAATGATATTTATGTAATATATTGTAAATTGAAAAGGTAGTTATAATGTTAAATAGATAGGACAATTACTTAAAAAAAGAAAAAAAAAAGAAAAGAAATTAATACTATGTTATGAAACATATCAAAATAAAAAAAATAAATAAATTGTTAAAAGATAGATGGATATAAATATAGATAACATATGAAAATATAATATAAAATACATCTTGTATATAAAGTATTACTCCCTCCGTCCCATATTATATGGGCGTATTACGGTAGATACGAGAATTTAGGTAAAGTGTAATTATTGAGTAATTAAGAAGTATATTAGTAAAAATAATTGTTCATTAAGATTAAGATAACTAAATAGTTTAATTAAAATTAAAGAAATTATAAAATTTAAAATTTAAAATGAGATTAAAGTGTATAATTATATTTTCAAAAATGAAAACGATAAATTATGTGAGATAGACGAAAATAGAAAATAAAGAGAAATTATGTGGGACAAAAGGAGTACTATGTTATGTTAGTTCTATATCATATGTATACTATGTAATGTGTTATTAAATATGTATTGATTATATTTAATCAGCATCGTAACTCTCGCCTTATTTAGAGACATATATATATATATATAATGAATGGAATAATTTTAATTAATATATAATTTTATATAATTAGGTGGGATTATATTGAATATGAAGGGAAGATAACGAAGGACATGGATCGAATGGAAGCATTTAGAAAGGCACTAACAACATGGGCAAAATGGGTCAACTCTAAAGCCAACCCTAAGGCCATCTACTTCTTCCAAGGGATTTCTCCAATGCATTACAGGTCTGCTCTCTCTTTACTATATATATATATATATAATTATTGCTATTTTAATTATTACTTCCTCCGTCCCAGAAAATAGGGGACTATTACTGTAGATACAGAAATTAGGTAAAATATAATTACTAAATAATTAAGAAGTGTATTAGTAAAAATAATTATTATTTAGTAAAAATAATTATAGATTAAGATTAAGATAAGTAAATAGTTTAATTAAAATTAAGAAAATTATAAAATTTAAAATGCGATTAAAGTGTATAATTATATTTCCAAAAATAGAAAGGACAAGTTATGTGGGACGGACGAAAATAGAAAATTGGGACAAATTATATGAGACGGAGGGAGTAATTTGTTAGTATCGATTTAGGGTTTAGGAAATTATTTTGATATGTCTAGCTCAAATACTTGTTTATTATTAGTTTCTTTTGCTCGAGTTTGATAAAATTTGGTTTGAGTTTAATATTAAAATAATGATTGATGAGATGTTTTGTAAGAAAAAAAAAATATTTTTTTTTTTTTGAAAAACGCAGAGTCTAAATAATAAAATTTGGGAAAATTTGTTTAAAGAAACATAATTATTTTGATAATTTAAATTTATTTATTTATATATATAATAAATTTCTTTGTTCAGGTTTTGATATGAATGTTTCCTTTTTTTTTATTTTTTTACGAGAGATATATAAAATTATGTTGGTAATATAAAAAATAATATTTTATATTAAATATTAATTTTTACGGATAACACGTATGTTGGGAATAGTACTGTAGAAAAAAACAATGCTGGCAAACAATAAATAGTAGCGCCATGTTTGTAATTGAAAATACATTTTAAATGTTTTTTATTTTTAAAATGAATTGTATGATAGTATTAAAAAATGCATGTAGGATTTGGATTATTTATATATATATATATATATATATATTTATTTAATGCTGTATATTCTAATAATATTTTTTAAAAATTGTGTACCGCGTAACACTGAGTGAAGACACTGTTTCTTCTCTTGTATTTACTTATAATCTTTTTCTATGCAATACGATTTTAAAAATTACGTTCATTTATATATATATATATATATATTCTTTTCACTAAATATCGTTGTTTCATAGAGGAGAAGATTGGAACAAGCCGGGAGTGAAGAATTGCGCGAATGAAACAACACCTTTGAAAGGATCATTGTATCGCGGTGGCGAGCCATTAGCTTCGAAAGTATTGAAGGATGTTCTAAATACCCAAGTTAGCCCACCTTCAAGGGTTCATTTGCTCGACATCACGACACTTTCTCAACTAAGGAAAGACGGGCACCCCGGCACCCACGGCACCTTTGGGATGGATTGCACCCATTGGTGCATTGCCGGAGTCATCGACACTTGGAATCTCATCCTCTATTCACAGCTCATTCGAGCAATTTGATTGTCGATCAACCATCGTGTATCTTCCGAATTAATTCTTTGTTTTGCTCCTTATCTTGACTTGGATGGAGGGAAATGCAAATATATACAACTTTCTGAATTTAAATACAATCTCCCCGTTCGATTTTAAAGGTTTCATTTATTTTTGCGTGTTGATCTTTGAATATTAATTATTATATGAAAACGTAATATAAATCAAGGAAAATAGACAAAAATACTTCTAATTATACAAATACAAGAATATTTTTAATGTTAAATATAACGACGCAAAAGGTAAATGAGACTCTTAGAGTGGGAGCAACATAATATTTGATTTGGATAAGTCTTTATTATTATTATTATTATTATTATTATTATTATGGCATATACTACGATATTCATCCGAAGGATACACATACGGGGGAGTCAATCAACTAATTTAGTTTTCTTTTATGATATCTTTCAAATGCTAATTTTGAAACTTTTTAAATTTTGTTTCAAAATTAATTTAAAATCCGAATCAATTTTCCAAAGGAAATACATAAATTTCTAGTAGTGAAAATAGTGTTTTTAACTCAAAAAATACAATTGCTAAAAATATTTTTACTTCAACCTACAACTCTATTTTTTACTCCAAAAACATAATATTCTTAAAATATTCTTTTTATGTATTATTTTAAACTATTTTTTATATCTATAATTAATATTATCTTTTTAAAAAATATTAAAAAATTCAAAATAAATAAAAGAATTAATATACAAAAATTCAAAAAATAAAAAAGAAAAAAAAGGAACACAACACCACAAATGGGCGCATTTTCACCAAATATGGAGTGCATTGGAGGAACTTATTTTCATTTTGTGCACCAAACTTCATATTTGGTGTATGGTTGGAGTTGCTCTAAGAAGTAGTACCTCCGCCCGACTCTAAGAGTCTTATTTATTTTCTGCGTGTTGATCTTTTAATATTATTAATTATTATATCAGAACGTAAGTACAAATTAAGAAGATTAAAAAAATACTTCTATTAGTGTCTTGTAATATTAATATAATGTCTTATAATACTAATAAAATGACATTTGTACAAAAAATTATACAAATATAAGCATATTTTTAAGATTAAGTATAATAACCCAAAAGATAAATGTGACATTTAGAGGTGGACGGAGAGAGTATATTAATAAAAACAATTATGGTATAGTAAAAATAATTATAGATTAAGATTAAGATAACTAAATAATTAATTAAAATTAAGAAAATTATAAATTATGAAATTCAAAATAGGAATAAAATGTAAAATTATATATATATTTTTTAAAAAGACAAATTATGTAGGACATACGAAAATAAAAAATATGAACAATTTATATGGGATGAGGAGACTCCCGCTTGCGGATAAATATATTAATATTGTGTTTCCCTAGCAAGCTTTTTAAGTAAAACGGTCATTTTATGCATTCGAAACAATGATATATTAACAAAATAAAATGAAACAATATTTATTTTCAAAATTTTTAGTTGAAAGCAAAAATCAATTAATATTTGATTCCCATAATGAATTACAGTAAATGGCGTCAATATCAAAATTGACCTGCATTTATAATTATTTACCTAATTATATAGATTTGAAAGAATTCACACCTAAAATATACTCCCCTGGCCCGGATACCATGTCCACGTTGCCGTTTCTATCCATCTCATATACCATGTCACTTTCATTTTTTGGAAAATAATTACACACTTTAATCTCATTTTAAAATTTTTAATTTTATTTTTTAAAATTTTAATTAAACTAATTAATTATCTTAATCTTAATTTATAATTATTTATATTATAGGATAATTATTTTCACTAATACATTCTTAATTATCTACTAATTACACCCCTTCTAAAATATCGTGTCTACAGTGTAGCAGACACGGTATCTGGAACGGAGGGAGATATACATATCCATTGAAATGCAAAAACTAAACACTATCAGAAAATCATAAAACATCACACAAAAATGGTGTCATCTCTAATCAATTTATATCCACAAAAATCAAACAACAACAATAATAATAATTACTACTTTCACCTAATTACTTATTCTATAAATTACAATAACTAATTTGCATTATAATATATATATATATATATGTGTATAATACAAAGCTTGTATAATTATCTCTTACAAAAAATAAAATCCAAGACATGGAAAACCTTGGTATCTCCATTTCCATGGCTGTATTATTATTGATCTTCCATATGACAACATTAACATCATCAGTTGCAAGTCGACGAGAATTTATTCCGGAATCGAAGCTAGGTCAATGCAATTTTTATGATGGCGAGTGGGTCTACGACAAATCCCTCCCTCTTTACGATTCATCAAAATGCTCGTTGTTGATCCCCAAAGAGTTCGACTGCCTCAAGAACGGTAGACCTGATCGCGAGTTTCTTAAGTATAGATGGCAACCCAAGGATTGCTACTTACCTCAGTAAGCCTATTTTACTAAATCATTTCATTTTTTTTTTCGTCATTTTAAAATTTTGCGAGTTTTTATTTTAGTTTATATATATATATAATTGCGTATAATCCATCTGTGATTCGGATAAAAACCGTGAATAATTAAATTTTATTTCTAAATCATTTCATATTTTTTTCGTCATCTTAAAATTGTGCGTGTTTTTACTTTAGTTTATATATATATAATTGCTTATAATCCATCTGTGATTCCGATAAAAACAGTGAATAATTAAACTTTATAAAATTAATTAATTATATGTTTCTTTAATATTTTAGTTTAAGATTTTTTTATTATATTATTATTATTATTTTTATACTTGAGGCATGAGAAATTATATTGCTAATATAAAAATAATATTTTATATTAAACTGCTAATTTTTGTGAGAGAATAAAGTATAAACATTATATATTGGGAATCATATCGACAAAAAATGTTTAAAGAATACATAATAATAGCTAAAACAATAATTTCGAGAGGATGGTTTAATTAATTTGAGTACTCCATGTAATGCATACATGAAGATTCGACGGAGTTGATTTCTTGGGAAGAATAAAAGGCAAAAAGATGTTGTTTGTTGGGGATTCTTTGAGTGAAAATCAATGGGGATCACTTACTTGCTTACTCAAGTCGGCTATCGGCGAGAGGTCGCAGATTATTCAGTCGAGGATCGACAATACCTCAACCGTCACTTTTCAAGTATTTATTCATTTATTTACAACTTACATAATTTGTTCAAAATGTTTACACTAAATTATAACTTCAACTAATCATCGAAACATAATTAATGTTGTAGGAATACAATTCGTCCGTGAACTACTTTTCCTCGCAATATCTCGTGGACATTGAAAACACAACATCCGGTCGTACGTTAAACCTCGATTCTATCAAAGATGGAGAGATATGGAGGCAATACGATGTCTTGATTTTCAACACTTGGCATTGGTGGTATCGTAGCAAAGGGCCGAAAGAATTGTAAGTATCCTAGATGGCATGCGCCTTATAACTACATTCGACTCATTTGTGAAAAATTATTATTGTTCCTCTTTGTAAATTACTATTATTTGGATTTATAATTAATCTAAAGGTTCAGACACTACAAAAAAGTTGAAATTTAGCTACTAAAAAAATTTGTAACAAAATATAATAATTCATAGCAAAAATGTATTTGTGATGATAATCATTCCATCGCCTATACTGCATTAGTAAAGGTCTTCAGTGACGAATATGATTTCGTAACATAAAATAAGTTTTTTACAATGAAAAGTTAAGAAAAAATATATAGCTACGAAAATATGTATGATTTTTTTATTTTTTGATTTTTTTAGCCAAATGGTTTTATCTATGAAAAATGATTTTATAGCTAAAACCTTTTTCTCTATGAAAATAGAATTTTCTAGCAAAAATATTTTAACGACGAAATTAATTTTTATTGCTAAATGATATGTTTTAACTACAAAAATATTTCGTAGTTAAAAATAGTGTAGCTAAGTAGATACTTTTTTGTAGTGAGATTAAGTCAGTAGCGATGAATAGTATCCTCTATTTTTTTGTTCATTAGCCCTTGTGCTATTGTAACTATAATCCGTGATCGATGATAACTCAGGTGGGACGTCATTAAAGATGATGGCAAGATTGTGCAAGACATGAATCGTATGGATGCATTTCGCAAAGCGCTTACAACATGGGCAAATTGGGTTAGTTCGATCTCGGTGAAGCCTACTACTAAAGTGCTCTTCCAAGGGATCTCTCCATCTCATTACAAGTAAGGAAATAGTCCTTTGATATATCTCTTAATAATATTCGTTTCAATGACAATTAATGGTTGCTTGTGGTACTAGTTTGTTTGGTTATAGTTTGAAATTGATTTGAAATGATGCGTTGATTTAAGTTTTTTTTTTAAAAAAAAGAAAATAATATCTTTATTTAATATTTTACGAGATAAAATAATATATTTTTATTGAAAATCGCACTGAATAAATATCATTGACTTCAATTTAAAATTACAAAAGAACAAGCTAAAGTCTAACATTTCACTTCCGATTTTGTCTCCTAATTATGCGATTTTGTCGCTCTTCTTGCATCATCGACTTTCAATCAATTAACTATCTTTTCTTGTCAAATTGAAAATGAAATCATGTGATAAAAATAATTTCACATTTTTTTTATTGATTTGTGAAATTCTACAATGCTACAGTAAAACAAGATGCATTTTATGGTAATCATGTATATATAATCAAAATTATAACTAATTTTTTTTTTTTTTTAAAAAAACATAATATCATAGAGTAGCTATAAATTTAGTTTTCATTTGATCTTGTGTTTTAGTTTTAAATTTTGGTTTAAATAATAGTTAGATGTGTTGTTTTGCAACGAAAAAATTATAATTTCCTCTTCCGTCAAATTTATTTTTACTTATTTTTTTTGTCCGTCCGTTAAATTTACCCTAGCTATATCTGGAAATGTAAAAAATCAATATTTAACTATTACCTTTCATTAAGCATTTATTTATCATAAATAACAGTAATTCCATTACATCATTTCTTTGTTTTATTTAATTACTAACTAAATTTTTAAAAATACTTTCAATTATTTTTACTTTTTCTATATTTTCAATAAAATTTCTATTTTTTTTTTTTTAATTTTTGTGCAAGACTCAAAGGGCTAATATGGTCGGATTGAGGAATTATATTTCTAAAGAGAATTAAATGTATTTAAAATAATAATAATAATAATAATAATAATAATAATAATAATAATAATAATAATTACGCTAAACATATAAATTTCGTCCCTAATTATGTATCTAATATCGTTAGTAACAGAAAATATGGATTTGGAAATGAAAAAATTTCGTTACAAAAATATTATTTTCTTGTAGTGTTATTATTCTTCACATCTGATTAGAAAATGAAACGATCATTGCAGTGGGAAAGATTGGAACACTCCGGGGGTTACTTGCGAGAAGGAAATGACGCCCCTGAAAGGTTCAATATACCCGAGCGGCGAGCCTTTAGAGTCCAAAGTGTTGAAAGAAGTCCTCAACACGAAAATCTCATCTAAAAAACCCGTGCATCTACTCGATATAACATTACTCTCACAATTGAGGAAAGACGGGCACCCGACCAAATACAATAAATATGGCAGCGATTGTACACATTGGTGCATCCCCGGCGTGGTCGATACTTGGAACCATCTTCTCTATACACACATTGTTCAAGAAGGTGATCGTCAAGGGACCAAATGATTTTCCTAAAATATTAAGTATAACGAATATTTTGAATAATTTATGTGGTAATTAAGAATGTGTTAGTTTATCATCTCAAATAATTTTCGAACTATGTGATACCAGTCTAAAAACTTGTCTTATTACATATTTTAAAATATTTTGCTTTTTATATATTCAAAATTTCTTAATGTTGTCACTAAAAATCAACCTAATTGGTTGGGCCTGTCAGTATCGAAAAAAAAAAAGGGTCCCTAGCCTCCTTTAGAAAGTATCTGAGCTGATTTTGCGATTGATAATTGAAATGCAACAAATTTGGAATCTGAAAATATTGCGATGAACTAATTGAAAGCTACTAACTAGTGCGGAAAAATAAAAAGTTATTTAGGCTGAAGGGCTAAACAAATGCATTGGCCGGAAAATCAAATACTCCCTCCATCCCAGAACTATAGTCTAGGTTGTGTTTGACACGAGATTTAAGGAATATTGATATTATATTAGTAGTGGATAAAAAGTACGGGTAAAAGACTTTTTTGCTCTTGTGAGTGTACTAGTGTAAAAAGTAGTGACAATTGTGTAATAATAATGAAAAAATAAGGGTAATTTTATGGTGATATAATTATTTATGGAAATGAAACTATTGTTTTGGGACGGACAAAAATGATAAACAAGACTATTGTATTGGGACACATGGAGTATTAATCTAAAATTTCGAATGAACACGGATGTAAGAGCAAAATTTTGGAAACTAAGAGTTGGAAATTAATTGCAACAGAATAAAATAAAACTAGATTTGATTGATGAGAGGAAAGTAAACTCTGAACTAAAATTTAACAACCTGAAATAGAAGAACCAGAATTTAAAACGAATGCAATATAAAATAAAAAGAAACAAAAAAAATAGAAAAAAAAATGGAAGAAGCTCGAAATTGGAGGCTAAAATTCGAACGGATTGGGCAAACATGTTCGCCTTCGAATCACCCTGTAGTCCGGATAGGCTCGCACCTTTCAATACAATCGAAGAATAGTAAAAATTTTGAGGGGTTTGGATTTTTAGTTGGAATTTGAATAGTAAAAATTTTGAATTTAAATAATTGTATGATATAATATAAATAGGTGCTGACGTGATATTTTGAATGTAAAACTAATTTTTAATATTATATAAAAAAATAAAAAATAGATATTTAATTTGATGTTTTTTGGGAAAATTTTTTTAATGAGTAATAGAAATTTTACAAAATCCTCCAAACAAACACACCAGTAATCTGAGGAAAACAAAAACAACCAGAGTTAAAACCAAAGTCCCCGACACATTTCGAAGCGCTGCTAAATTTTGATTTTTGTCACCGATGTAATAGCCGAAGGGAATGACAATTGAAGCAAAGTTTGGAAGTGAGCAGTTTGCATACAAGGAGCGGCTCGCCCGCAAAGAGCAACTCACCCGTGTCAGGCAACACGGCCGGAGGGACCAACTCGCACATGGAGAGTAGTTCGAGCACAAGGAATGAGGAGGGCACCCTCGAGGATGACGAGTTATCCGAAGTCAATCTCGACATCATTGTGTCCGATCAAGACTTGGAATGAGCACTCCGATATTAAGGTGAATTTGCAATAAATGGCGGATGTCTTGCCATAGTACCTCGATGCCCTCCAAGCGTAATCTCAAATTTTGGGATGCAATGTTAGTGCGAAAACGCTTAGCCGTGCAATAAACACTATTGAGCTAAGGCTATGGTGCCATACTACAAATTCACTATAAAAAAATATCTAATTACCTACAATATTTTTAACTACGAAATATTTTTTTAATTAAAAAATATCATTTAGCGACAAAAATAAATTTAATCGCTAAAATCAATTATATATTATAAAATTAATTTCGTTGTTAAAACTTGTTTGCTAGAAAAATTCCATCTTCATAGCAAAAAAGGTTTTAGCTACAAATTATTTTTCATAGCTAAAATCATTTGACTAAAAAAATTATCCATATTTTGTTGTTAAAACTCTTTTGTTATAAATTTTAATTTTATAGTAAAAAATCTTTAGCTACGAAATCAACCCAATTCCATGGCAACCCAACTAATTCATTTTAATCCACTAGACTCGAACAAACTTGAGAATGAATGGTTGGTTATAATGTCATGGATTAATGGTACCTCCCATGTTTCTTGCCAAATAAATATGAGCAGACAATCACGTCATTGCAAAGTGTAAAAAAGATTGTTGGAGTAAAAGAGTGTTTGACCATGCAGTTAAGAGAAATTTGAGATCAAGAAAAAGTAGTGGTCTCCCCACGAGTTTACGAAATAAAAGGCAACATAGTTCGCCTAGTGTGATTTTTTCATCGGACCTGATTTGCAGGATATTAGGTTTGGTCGGAAATTTACCCAGTGCGCACTTTTGGGTAGCGGCTGCGGGTTCTCATGTCATCCAAAAAAAAAAAGGCAACATGGTTTAGGGTTTAGGTTAGCATATTGCGATTTGCCTTGTCGAGCTTAATTTGTAGATTATTACGTTCGTTTACCTAGAGCGTACTTTTCAATTTTATTTTTTCCTTCAATTTCAGTACGATTCCAATCCATATTTAATTTTAAAATAATTATGTATGACTTCCATTTTTTTTTTTTTTTTACAAATACTTCTGTTTTACCATCATCATATTTTCTTCTACTTTTAACTACCAATTATAATTAAAAATACTATTCCCTCCGTCTCAATGCAATAGTCTTGTTTACCATTTTTGTCCGTTCAAAAACAATAGTCCAATTTCCATAAATAACCATATCAGCATAAAATTATCCTATTTTTTCATTAATATTACACAATTGTTACTACTTTTTACACTAATATGCTCACAAGGGCAAAAAATTCATTTATCCATATTTTTTACCGACCACCAATATAATATCAATATTCCTTAAATCTCTTGTCCAACACAATAAGACTATACTTTTGAGACGAAGGGAGTATTATTCTTTAAATATTTTTCAAAATATAAATATACATACTTTTTAAATAAACGGAAGAAGTAGTAATTTTATTGTACAAAATTTAATTATCATTGTCTTTGTTGTAATAACACCGGATGCCATACATCAGGCAAATCAGATGTCATAGTATATATTACTCTCTCCGTTCCATATACCGTGTCTGCTATACTGTAGACACGATATTTTAGGAGGGGTGTAATTAGTAAATAATTAAGAATGTATGAGTGAAAATAATTATCTTATAATATAAATAATTATAAATTAAGATTAAGATAACTAATTAGTTTAATTAAAATTAAAAAAAATAAATTAAAAGGTTTAAAATAAGATTAAAATGTGTAATCATTTTCCAAAAAATAAAAGTGACATAGAATATGAGACGGACAGAAACGGTAATGTAGACATAATATGTGGGACAGTGGAAATATTTCTTCTTAAAACAAATAAAATTATTTAAGTAAAGCTAAATAAATACTTGAAACATCAAAGCAGCCTTTTCCTAAAAAAAGGTAAAGGAGCGTATGGAGCTGTCTTTCCTTTGGGATCATCTTTTATGTTTGGTTATAATTGGGAGCTCAAGTCGAAGAAATTATCGGTCAGTTCACTTTAATATTTTTCAATGGAACAATTTCATATAAATATCATTAAAAAGAATATAAATATACATACATTAATATAATATACTTCTTTCGTTCGTCTCTAAATGTCACATTTACATTTTGCGTCATTGTATTTAATATTAAAAATATCCTTGTATTTGTATAATTTTTTTTGTACAAATGTCCTTCTATTAGAATTGTAAGACACTAATGAAGTATTTTTGTAATTTTTCTTAATTTAGATTACGTTTTGATATAATAATTAATATTCAAATATCATCACGCAAAAAGTAAATGAGACTCTTAGAGCCGGACGGAGGTAGTATATATTATTCATTTGTAAAAAGTCAAACATTCAACCAAAAATATTATTTTTTATATTATCAACACAATTTCTCATACCACACACAAAAATTAATCTATCTAAAAATACTGAACGAACAGACTATATTTTAAAGTTGATTCTACATTATTGAATGAATTTATAAAGTATAAAAAAAAATAATATCAAATATCTATGAATATAATATATGAATAAATTAATGATATATAAAAATAGTTTATACAACACATATTACAATTAAACTTAACGCACAAAGTACGTTCATATAGCACACACTAAATTACATTGTATTTTTTCAAGTTTAAAACTTTTTTTTAATCTTTTACAAACTAATTTATCCTAATTATGTACAAATATATATATATATATACTTTATTCGACCACTCACAACTTATATGCGTTTTTATTTTAGATTCTCCAATTACAAAGTAATTATATTCTCTTTTAGTAATTATAAATCCCACTTTTTTTCTAAAAGTACTCCTACTCTATAATCACATTAATGCCTTTTACAGTAAAAAGTAATAACAAAATTGTAGTTACGTTACTTTTAATTACTCACTTTAACTAAAATACTATAAATTTTTTTGTTTTAAAATAATTGTCTCATTTTTCCATTTTCGGCAATCTCAAAACAATAGTTTCATCTCTATAAATAACTATATCACCATAAAATTATCAATATATTTTTTTATTATTATTGTTACACAAATATACTCATAAGGGTATTTTTGTCTTTTAATATTTATTTTATTCTTACTTTCAATATAATATTATTATTTTTTAAACGGCTTATCCAACTCTTAAGAATTTATTCTTTTAGGAAGGATAAAAGTATACCTTTTTAAACTCCTCGTTAAAAGTAAATATAATTTTTTACAAATTGGACGGTGAGAATCTTATTATAGTGTTAAATTTTAATTTATTTTTTATAAAATGGCATTCATATTTAATATATTTATGATTTTTAAAATATTCAAAATATAATTTTAATTTATTCTTAATCATATATATATATTTCCTCCGTCCACTTAATAAGTTTATATTTACCTTTTGCGTTATTGTACTTAATATTAACAATTTTCTTATATTTGTATAATTTTTATATACAAATCTCATTATATTTATATTATAAGACACTAATAGAAGTATTTTTATCATTTTTCTTTAATTTGTACTATATTTTGATATAATAATTAATATTAAATAATTAAATAAAAAAAACAAATGTAAACTTTCAAAGTAGACCGATGAGTATTATAATATAATTCAACTTACAATCAAACAATTTTTCATTATCAATAATAAAATTGAACTTCGAACTACACTTTATGACTTTCACCAAACATGAATGAGTTGTAGCAGAGAAATGAGAGGAAGAAACTGTTTTGTTTTGAAATTAAGTTGGTCATTCAAATTTTGGTTTAAAATGATCATTAATAGTCTATACAAAACTAAAAATATATTTATCATATGTGTTCTTTTCATGGAAATTACATTTCTCCTAAAATATATTTCTCAAAAGAAAGACTTAATATATTATTTTTATATTTTATATTTAAAAATATATTTCCAAACTATTTCACTAATGCTAACAAACCCTAAATAAATAAAATAAAGGTTTGTGGTAGGTAAAGAGGCCATAATGATTACAAACCACACCCATGGAACCTTTTGCCCACTCTTCTCTTTGCTCCCACTCAACATAATTTATCATTTCCCTCCACTAACTCAAACCAATAATTTACTCATGTGACAAAAGCCATTGTAACATATGTCCCATTTATTCAAAAGTTTTCAAAATTTTAAAAATTTGAAAAATATCCAAATAACTGTTGATATGTTTTATCATAAGTTTCAAAAATATCTATATAAAAAGAACTAGGGTTTCGAGAGAAGCAAAAAAAAAAACCACTTCTCCCCTAAAATGGCCACACTCTTCGTATCCATTCTCCTCTCATCCCTTTTCACCTTAACCAAATCAACTTTCTCCGATGGTAGCGCCGCGGCGGCTGCGGCGGCAACAACAACCCATCTTCACTTTTTCCTCCACGACATCGTGAGCGGGAGGCACCCGACGTCTATCAGGGTGGCGGGGGAGAAGAACAAGTTTGGCATGACGGCAGTGATCGATGATCCATTGACGGAGGGCGCCGAGCACGGCTCCCCGATCGTGGGAAGGGCTCAAGGCATGTACACGTCATCCGCGTTGGACGCCATGTCGTTGCACATGGCGGTGAATTTTGAATTTTTGGCGGGAGAGTTCAACGGGAGCACGTTGAGCATCCTCGGGAGGAATGCGTTCATGGAGGCCGTGAGGGAGTTTCCGATAGTTGGAGGGACCGGCCGGTTCCGGTTCGCTCAAGGCTACGCGTTGGCTAAGACTAAACGGTTCAATGCCCCGACCGGGGATGCCGTTGTCGAGTATGATGTCTTTGTGATGCATCGTTGAGAATGTATTTGAGATTTATATTGTTCAGTACTATTTGGATATATGATTTTTTTTTTTTTTAATGATACGAAAATTCGCAGTCGCTATTTAGGGATGAATAAATTTACCGAACATATCGAAATACCGATTTATCGTACCGTATCGTGTCGAAAATACCAAAAATTTCGGTACGGTATGGATATCGTACCGAAAGTTTCGGTATGGTATCAGTATGAATTTTCGGAAAATTCGGTATGATACCGTACCGATATTATTTTTATTAAATAATTTAATTATTAATATAAATAATAATTATTAATATTTTTTTTAAATCATAAGAAAAAATATGTAAATTATTAAAAATTTATTGGTTTTTTCATAATATTTTTGTGGTGGAGAATAGTGATATTTATTAATTTTTTTAATTATTTTGAAATTTAAAATTATATTTTAGGTATAATCGGTATATACGGTATCTACCGAAATCAAAATTTTCGGTATAAGCGGTATATACCGGTATCGTACCGAAATTGAAATTTTCGGTATAAACGATATATTCAGGTAACCGTACCGAAAATTTCGGTATAGTACCGGTATGTATTTTAATCATACAGAAAAGTTCGGTACGATATCGATATCGACCGGTATTTTCAGTACGGTACAGTATGCCATCCCTAGTCGCTATTTTCTAAGTGTGGTTTGCGCTTTAGGTAAACTCTGATTGAACCTAGTAGTATGCAAACTAGGTCATACAAACATATGACAAAAAAGATTCATCCTTGACTTTCGAAGGTATGGACCGTAAAAAAAAATAAAAAAATAAAAAAATGTGCCACTAAATGTATATAGATTAATAATGTCTTAATACTATATAATAAAGTATAAATAATTAAATAAAATAAATTTTCTAATATTTTTTAGATGAAAAATAGTACTATTACAATTTTTTCAAAACTTTGAGGCACTAAACTTGATTAACAAATGTGTTTGGTTGGTATTTGAAATTTGAATTTGGTATTGCTAGTAAAAATTTTTAATTTGAATAAGTATTAAATGTAATATGAATTTGTATTAATGTGATAATTTTATATAAAAATAAATATTACTATAATATAAAAAAAATAAAAATTTGATTTGATATTTTTAGAAAGAAAATTATGTGAATAAACTCTAACCACATATTTGGTTGGGTGTTTAAAGTTTGAATATTAATTTTTTTTAATTTGAATAATTATTTGATATTATATAAATATGTAGTGATATGATAAGTTAAATATAATTTTTTTTTAATATAATATAAAAAATTGGACTTTTATTGATATTTCAAAAAATAAAATTGGTGAATACTAAAATTTTTGGTTAAATCCAATCAAATATTTTTTTTATTTATATTATAAATAAATAATTTATTATAAAAGCATCCGTTTATAGTCATTACTTTTACCTCATTATCTCTTTTATTTCTCTCATCTACATCATATTTGTCTCTATATTCAAATTATTTCATTTATCACTTGTTATAGTAAATTACCTCTAACACATTACCTTTATTATTTTATAAATTCACAATAATTTATTTATTTCTACTTATTTTTATTATCGAATAATATTTGTATATAATAGTACTCCCTCCGTCTCGTTGGAAGGGTGGCGTTTGTTTTTTGTACGTAAATTTTTTAATATTAGTATTATATTGGATTGTAGTAAAAAAGACAAAAATACTCCTATTAGTACGGTGTAATATAAAAGTAATGACATTTGTGTAATATATTGTAAATTGAAAAAGTATTTATTATGTTAGGTAGGTAGTACAATTACTAAATTAAGAAATAGTAACCTTGTTATGGGACGGACGAAAATAGAAAATGGTAACATTTCAATGGGACGGATGGAGTATTATATTTTAACTTTTTAAATATTAATCTATATAAATTTTAATAATTGAAATTATTCGAAATAAATCAACATATATTAATTAAAAATAACATAAAAAATAATCTTAATATAATATAAACATATAAAATAAATATATTAACAATATAACTTAAGAATTATTATTTTTATTATCAAATCGTGTCCAATAATTTAATTTACTGATTGAAAAGATCAATATTTTGTTTAATTAAATATGAAAAAGTAGAGAATAAGTTAATGAAATTTAAATATATTTATAGATAATTTATACTAAATTTAAACTTTAAAATTTTAAAATTTCAAAAAATTTTGAATATTTTTTAATTTATTTTTTTGTTGAAAGTAATGAATACTTGAGAAAAATAATAAATTCTGATAACTGTATTTCTTATTAGAGATAATGAATTTTGTTATACTAAAATTAAAAATCCAATGATAAAGGTAAGGAAAAAGACGACTGTAACGATGCCTTAAGTAATTTAAATTATTTTTAAAGAAAATAGTATTATTGCAAATAATTATATAAATTATTTGTCCAAATAAAAAAATTATTTAATATCTATTTAACTCATAAAATATTAAAAAGTTAATATATTTTACTTTACTAAAACTCTCTTATGAATTAAATTAAATATAATTAACTTTCTAATATATATTTTATTAATAACCATGGCAAAAAAAAATGTGACATAGTCCCCTGGGAGGGATATTGTATAACATAGAGATTTTGATAATATCATTGCTCAATTTTATTTAATTTTTTTTATTTACGGGCACTTTGACTAACTACGACTCTAACTTTGGTATTTAAATAATATTTTGATAAAAAATTTTGTTATTAAAATAATATTTAATAAGATATTTTATAAGAAAAAAAAAATGTAATTTTTTAAATTTCAGGATTCAAATAATAAAATTTAGAAGATTTTTAGCAAAAGGAAAAACACACTATTTTTTATTTTTGTTATTTTCTTTTACTATATAATGTTCACAATTTTTACAAAATTATATTATATTATTTTTTATTTATTGTTGAGAGAACGAAAAGTGAGTCAAAAGGATACAAAATATTAGATGCAAGTCATTATTCAAATCTAAATTCAAACTTTAAAATAACGCACATGCATGTTGAGTTTGTTCTTGGAATATACTTCCTCCGTCCGACGTCCTACTTTTTTATTTGGAATGTCCAACAATTATTGCCCTCTTTTTATTTTTATACACAAAATTTACTCTTTTATCCTTACTTTATTTACTCTTTTATTTTCTATACACAAGATTAAGGGCAAATTTGTCATTTTATAACAAAAACCCTAATTACCTAAAAATACGTGTAAATATCAAATAGGACATTAGAAAATGGACGGAGGGAGTATAATTTTAATATATTACTCCATCTGTGCCAAATATGGTGTCCTCTTTAATATAGACACGATAATTTAGAATAAGTATAATTAGTAAATAATTAAAAATGTATTAGTGAAAATAATTATTATTTGATAAAAAATAATATTAAATTAAGATTAAAATAACTAGCTAGTATAATTAATATTTTAAAAAATAAATTAAAATTTTTTAAATGAAATTAAAATGTATAATATTTTTTTTTAAAAAAAAATGACAGAATACGTGGGACAGAGAAAAATGAAAAAGTGGATACGATAAGTGAGCCAGAGTATGATTTAATATGGAGCTGAGTTCATTCAACTAAATAATTATTACTCCCTCCGTCCATAAACTATTGTCTTACTTTCCAATTTGGAACGTCCAACAACTATTGTCTTATTTCCTTTTTTTTAAATATAAATTTTATATTTTTACTCTTCATTCATTTATTACTTTTAATTTCTACCATACAATTAAGGGTAAATTTCTCAATTCATAACAAAAAAATAATCACCTAAAAAATCGTACAAATATACTTTAGTACAATAGAAATTGAACGGATGGAATATGTGTTATATTTCAAAATTAAGGTCAACTTCTTATTATTTTAAGCTATTGACTATAAAAATATGTATAAATATATTTGAATATATATATATATATAATTTGGAAATTTTCATGATGTGTTTGTGTTTGTTTGTGTTTTGGGAGTGTTTGATATTTTAGAAGTAATAAAATTTTGATCTAAAAATTATTACTCCCTCCGTCCCGCAATGGATGAACCATTTTATTAGGGACAAGGTTTTTTAGGTAGTGTAGATTAGTAAGTTATTAATAATAAGTTATGATATTAGTTTATTATTTTTTATATGAATAATATTATTGGTATTTTAAAATTTTTTAAGATTATATCTCGAAAAAAATAAATATTTTTATTTATTTGTCATTATCATAAATTGATTTTATAGATTAGTAAGTTATTAATAATAAACTCTTCGATTCCCCGTAAATGAGCATAAATTTACACGACAGAAGGAATATCTCTTACAATATAGGGTCCGGTTGATTGTGATTTTCATTTGAAATTATTATTACTATTTATTTTTGTACAACTTTTAATAAAACTACACTAAAAATTTTTTATAACATATTATATCGAAAGAATATTTAAATAAAAACTCAAATCAACTCCAAACCATCTTATAAGTACAGTTTTGTTTGTTTGATATTTTGGCTAGAAATATCTTTTAATATGAATTATAGAAATTTTTATAAATAATATAAAAAATAATATTTTATATTGAAATTTGATTTTTTATATAGAAGGATAGAATATATACATTATATACTTTTAATTTTTTTTTTTAATAAATTAGTAATTATTAAATGGGCTAATGACCTATGTCCTTAACCCAAGCCACATTATTGGGCCCAATTCACTCATACTACTAATTGATTATAATGTTGCAGTTTCTGATATGGAGTAATAATTAATTAATAATTCTTTTTTTAAATCAAAATATTAAAGCCCATGTTTTAATCTTAAATGGGCCCTCGTAAATTCCGGTCATGGCCTGTTACTGGGCCCATTTTACATTCTTAAACGGGCCTCATCCTTTCTGCACATAACTAGTCCCACGATCCCCTGTTTTGTGTTCGATCTACATAGATACGAAAATTTAAATAAAATATAATTAATAATTAATTAAAAAATATATTAATAAAAATAATTATTGTATAATAAAATTAATTATACATTAAAATTATTAAAAATATATATATAAATTAGAGAATTTAAAATGC